TAATACACGTACAGTTCAATCAAGAATTACTATGATTCGAAAAAATATTTGTTTTTACTTTGTAATAGTAATATGCTTAGTATAACTTAATTAGTTAGTTGAAAACTAGACATGGTTTCCGCTATAAACGAATCAATATAAAACATTGAGGGATTCTTTATTTCCTAATTTTTCATAATACAAGTTATATTTGTTAAATTAACTCAAAAAATGAAAAATCTTTAAAACTTAATATGTGATTATCTTTATGAGATCATATGACAAAAAAAAATCAATTGTCTAACTACACATATTTAGACCATACTTATGAAAAATCATGAATTTTTTTAAAACACGGATCAACTTGTTGAGTTTCAAAGGAAAAAGGAATTAATACTTAGGATTACCTAAATCTTCTTGGTTTCTTATTCAGTGCCCAAAATGGGAGCAAATTTCTTACTATTAAAGTCCAATAATTTTGCAGTTAAAACTTGAGTAGGAAGAAAACAATATCTAGTTGCATTAGAAGTGTTTTCAATAGAGTTAGAGATTTGTTTAAAAAAACAGAATATTGTTGCCATTAATTGAAGATGAAAGTTTTTAAGGTAAAAAGAACACGGAGTACACAAAAGCTTGGAGAAGAAGAATAGAGTGAAACAAGGATTAAAGTAATTTGGTGTAAATTGGTTTCATTCATGATTTTCATAATGTAATATGGAGAAAAAATAATTTTCGAATGTTTGACTTTTAAATTGTACAATTTGAAAGTAACAAGTTTTCAAAATTACACATTTGAAAGTAACAAGTTTTCGAAATTACAAACTCGAAAGTCAAAAGTAATTTTTCAATTGTTAATTCAAAAGTTTTATTTATGTCAAAAAATACTTTTGATTACCGAAAGTAACTTTTTAAGCGAAAAATGGAGATTTCATATTTATGGCGGTGAAAAGGAAAAAAATATGGATGTGTAAAGGAAGGAGAATATGGGANTTTGGGCGGACGTCCAGCTCTTGAACGGATGGACGCTCGTCCTGATTGACATTTTGGGCGGACGTCCCATCTCAAGTGGCTGGACGCTCGTCCTGATTGACATCTTGGGCGGGCGTCCATTTACTGAATGGTTGTGCGCTCGGTTTATGCCGGGAGGTCCTGTTAGTACATAAGCCCCCCAAGCCCGAGCATAATTTTATTGTGCGAAGGGGTTGTCCACGTCCGGATGGGCAACGCTGGAAGGCCGCTGGATCTATGAATCCTCGGAAAGTCAGTTCTTTTGGATGTTCAGTCTTGGTAACTGAAACGGGTGGACGTTCGGTTCTGCTTGTGATCTGGGCGAGCAGCCTTGGACGGACGCGCGGTCTATGATTGCGACCTGGGCGAGCGGCCTTGGACGGACGCACTATCTTGGGCGGACGTCCCATCTCGAATGGTTGGACGCTCGTCCTGGTTGCCATCTGGGCGGACGTCCCATCTTGAAAAGCTGGACGTCCCCTCTTGAGTGCGTGGGCGCTCGTCCTGATTAGTGGGTGGCAGTGTTAACCGCTTGCTCGGCCTATGCTGGGAGGTCCTGTTAGCACATAAGCCCCCTTTCCATACATACTTTCCAGACGTTTCGTCTCTCGGGATTTTCTTGAAGAACACTTTTTGTGAATGTGGAGAGTGCGGGGCTATCCTGTGGTGATAGAATTCCATGTGAGTTCTTCAAAGTTTTTCTTACAAACAGAGGTTCTATCCGGTTGGACGGACGGGCATTTAGCCCTTTGGGTAACGTGGGCACCGGAAAGGGCGAACGGCCATTTGTGTGGGTGTCCTTCCGTACGGCGTCCGGCACTTCCTGGTACAGAAACTTTAAAATCAAATGTTGACCAAAACACCAATACAAGTGTTCCAGAAGAAGTATAAAATGTTAGACTATGAAGGCAACCATGACAACGTGTTTCCTTTGTGACCCTACAAATTACAATTGTGTTAAAACTCAACATCTCTATTTTTTAAGTTTTTTTATTAATTGTCTAATATAAGAAAACATAAAATATAAAAAAAAAAAGTTTTCAAATAGAAGATGAACAAATTATGTAAAATATTTTAAGTACTTTGTTTAAGAGACTATAAAATACAAGCAAATTTCTTACTTCGTTGGGTAAACTATAGGTAATTGTCAAATGAAAACTACAACTTGGTCAGTCATGATAATATTGGATCAGGCCCAATACTTCTTTTTCCTTCTCAATCTTTTAAGGATGCTACTCCCTCCACCACCACCGCTTCTCCCTCCACATCCCCAATCTTATACACAAAAATAACATTTTTTACTTTTAACTCTATTTATTTATTTTAAACTCAAACCTTATTCTTTTATTCATTTTTACTTTTTACTCAGCCCCACTTCCCAACACTCCTTCTCTCTCTTTTTAGATTCTCACCTTCCCAACTCTACCACATATATTTGTTTTAATTACAAAAATATTAATATAATAAAATTATATATTTTATATAATTAAACTAATAAATATTTTTTATATAATTATAAAATTGTTAAAGAATACAAAAACAATATATTAAAAATATATATTATACAAAAACATTAAAACAAAAAACTAATTATATATAACTGCAAAATACAAAAAAATATAAATATAAACTAATAACAATAAAGATCTTCAAAAATACATTATTAAAATACATCAAAAATATTTTCAAAAATAATACATCAAAACATATAAATTACATTATTAAAATATCTCCAAAATTAATATAAAAAATAAACTAATAAAATAAACATGTAACTTTAAACGGATGTGAGCATCCGTCAACGGATGGGCAAAACGGATATCGACATCCACCGAGGGATGCTCACATCTTTAAAGATTATATGTTTATTTTTTTAGGGTTTATTACGCACCTTCACGACAAATCCTTCAAGTACCACCACACCACCACCACCACACACCGATCTTGGCACGGCTGATCAATTGCTTCCACCACCACTTGCAATCTCTCACTAAGCACACCAGCTAATGAAAGTCCACCACACTCTGGGACCATAATTCTATCACAATTAAAGAATGAGAGGAAGAAGTGGAACGTGAAAAAGAGGAAGAAGAGTATAATGAAACAATGAGGGGACGAACGATAAAGAGGAAGAAGAGTTGTCGCTGCATACATGTAGAGGATTAGAGTGGGTAGAGGTTAAAAAATATTAACCCTAAAATTTGACTAAGGATAAAATAGGAATGGGAAAATGAATTCAAAGCTTTTCAACAATAAGAACAAATATTGCAATGACTACCTCTTCAAGCGATTATTTAAAGACACTCCTTGACGAAGGAGACAAAAAGAATAATTATTGTTTAAAAGTGTTATCACTTTGTTGATTTTTCCATGTATGTTAAAGTTTTGTAAGAACATAATTTGTGTTCAATCCTTAACAAATTAGTAGGTGTTCAACCTTGCAAATAATGAAAGATGGTATCCCTCTCTAGTGACTGAAAAATCGTAGTTTGTTATTCACAAAAACATTTTATTTGTCTTAATCTTAGAGTGACTTGTTCTTTAAAGAATAATCACTATAATTAGTTCGGGACAACTATGATCTAAAAGCATACTTGGGATTTTTAGTCAAGAAATGCTAAGTTCAAATAATAATTTAGCAGGATTATGAAATAATACACGTACAGTTCAATCAAGAATTACTATGATTCGAAAAAATATTTGTTTTTACTTTGTAATAGTAATATGCTTAGTATAACTTAATTAGTTAGTTGAAAACTAGACATGGTTTCCGCTATAAACGAATCAATATAAAACATTGAGGGATTCTTTATTTCCTAATTTTTCATAATACAAGTTATATTTGTTAAATTAACTCAAAAAATGAAAAATCTTTAAAACTTAATATGTGATTATCTTTATGAGATCATATGACAAAAAAAAATCAATTGTCTAACTACACATATTTAGACCATACTTATGAAAAATCATGAATTTTTTTAAAACACGGATCAACTTGTTGAGTTTCAAAGGAAAAAGGAATTAATACTTAGGATTACCTAAATCTTCTTGGTTTCTTATTCAGTGCCCAAAATGGGAGCAAATTTCTTACTATTAAAGTCCAATAATTTTGCAGTTAAAACTTGAGTAGGAAGAAAACAATATCTAGTTGCAGTAGAAGTGTTTTCAATAGAGTTAGAGATTTGTTTAAAAAAACAGAATATTGTTGCCATTAATTGAAGATGAAAGTTTTTAAGGTAAAAAGAACACGGAGTACACAAAAGCTTGGAGAAGAAGAATAGAGTGAAACAAGGATGAAAGTAAATTGGTGAAAATTGGTTTCATTCATGATTTTCATAATGTAATATGGAGAAAAAATAATTTTCGAATGTTTGACTTTTAAATTGTACAATTTGAAAGTAACAAGTTTTCAAAATTACACATTTGAAAGTAACAAGTTTTCGAAATTACAAACTCGAAAGTCAAAAGTAATTTTTCAATTGTTAATTCAAAAGTTTTATTTATGTCAAAAAATACTTTTGATTACCGAAAGTAACTTTTTAAGCGAAAAATGGAGATTTCATATTTATGGCGGTGAAAAGGAAAAAAATATGGATGTGTAAAGGAAGGAGAATATGGGAATGCAAAAAATAAATCTTCTACAAAACAAACCACAAACAAGCTTTCAGGCTCAATCCTCTTTCATTAACGCTGGTTTCATGCTCCAGAGTTTCAAGAGCAGATTAAGGACACTTCAGTGGACGTTCTTCACTCTTGGAAGGGCATGTTGGTTTCTAAAGATGAGACCCGTCAGGACACTCATTACAGCACTATTACTATATATATATATATATATAATCTTTCAAGTATTAAAAATCCCTTCAACTTGATCCGTGAACGTTTACAAAATAACTGAGAAACTAAATTGGTGATATTTAATACTGGAGAGATACCTGGGAAGTTTTATTACTTTAAAGAATATTTAGGAGAATTGATAATGCTTGACAACAATATTCCCACAACTCCTACCCCAATGAACCAAAAAAAGTGGGAACACTATACTTGAACTTATAGCCATTAAACAAAACTATTGTTACAAGAGTAGGACACCGCGTTTCTGGTAAGATTGTAAAAAAGAATATACATATATTTCCTTATCCTTCAAAGGCGAAGACAAAAAAATAGCAATGAAAACTGAACAGGAACAGGTATTGAAATGAATCTTGAATTTCTTCGAAGCCAAGACGGATTTGTATCACGATCCTACCTTTTATGTGTGAGCACAAATGAATTTATAGAAAATTGGTTCAAATTCCTTCGAATTTAATCTCCCCCTTTCATCTGCCAACCTCCGATGCAAACCAACACTCAACGTTTATATTTGATGCCTTCTTGGAGGATACTACTTCCCCCACAACTACAGAAACATTGCTCCAAAAAAGAGATTCCACGTTTCCCAGTATTTTAATCCACAGTTTTCAGCATAGCCAATCCAAAGGGAACTGTCCGGAATCTCTCTTTGGTGTCTTGAATTTCAAACCTGACAGCATCAATGAAATTTCTGATTATTATATTAATTTAAGAACATGAGAAAGCACCTATGATCCACCCCCCACCATCTCCCCCGCTTCTGTTATGAAAAAAATTAGCAAGCTTCAAACTTGATATTCATTTTTGAAGCTTTATGCAGCATGAACAAGCACCTAAGCACCGAGATTTTATATAATGTAATCCTTTCCCAAGAAGTATCAAAGAACTATTCCTTTACAAAGCAATATAGAGGCTTACCGTTGAATGAGGAATCAGAAGCAGAATAAGCGAGATGCAGTACAGAGAAAGGGAAATGACAACTCCAGTAATAAAATTATGCAGCAGCCGCCGATTGTCTTTTGTTGGTATGAACACCGTCTTAAGTATATTTGTTAATTCAAAAAGTCGATAAGATACCTGCAAACCGTATCAAGATAATAGTGCAACCTAGTAATTAGTATGATGTCTTTAATGAGACCTGAATACAAATAAGAAAAATAAACATATGGAAGGAAAGAAGAAAGATCCATACAAAGACGTATATAGCAGTGGTAAGCATGAAATTGAGCATAGGATACTCTGGTATAAGACAAAGAAGCCACTTGGGCTGTCCATTTGGCATGTTAGACCTGCAAACAAAGAGGAAGTTATGAAGTACGCCCTTGCTGAGGTGAAGTTTTTTCATAATTCCAATCAAACATTGTCCTATGTATTATTGATCCAATATACTAAGATATAAAGATGCAACAACAAACAACATTATCCGTGCTGAAAAATTTATCAACACATGTGACTTCCAGTCTCTCCAACCATGTCTAACTATAGCCACTACTAAAACTAAAACGTGATCTACAAAACTAATGAAATTAGATAAGCACTGTTGCTGTTGAGCTGGGTTATCGCTAAACATAAAATAATATTACCAATTAAAGGATCTTCAGCAATGAAAATATGAAGCAATTAAATGTTATTTGATTCATCATTCATTTGAGTACGAAAAATGGGTTGAGCACATATCCCTCAGACCACAATAACTCTTTCAAAATTGCTAATTACAATGCTTTACGGAGTCCTCTTGATGTAACTTGGACAATAACCTAGGGAGAAGGGCTCAGATGCATACACACCTTAACCAAATATGAAACTGGGAAATGTATGTCTCCAAAGTAACCTTGCCAAGCCATCTGTACGAAAATGGAGGAAATTAAGCAACTAAAAAATTGATAGCTGTCACCAAATAATAAAATCTGCCAAAACCAATCAACATGGAATTTCAATAATTAAGGTAAAGAACATACGCAAAGAGGGTCAAAGAGAAATTACGAAGCCGCTGACTGAAATTCCTCAAGCAAATGTATACACTGAACATCATAATAATAAGGTAAAGGGATCAATAGGAGATGAAAACAAAATATAATCACATCTCATATATTACTATAGGTTTCCTGTCTTCCAAGTATAAAGCAAAAAAACAGAAAACACGGAGAAAACAAAAGGAACAAAAGAAAAAGATAACACTCACGTAATTGGAATCCATGATGTGTAAGGGTGGAGTTTGTTGTATGAGACCTTGTCCAGCTTGTATATGTATTCATACCACAAGTACCCCACCTAGAAAAGATAAATGAAAGAGATGTTCTTGTTTACTATTCTTGGTCTACATAAATAATATTCAAGTAATAACATAGGAGAATAGAAAACCATGAATATGCTTATCAATGTATTTTAGGACATGTAACTCACAAATAGTGCAGCAGAAACAATGCCAGTTTTGATCGTAACTCTCCTCTTGGTTTCACTCTCTTCCAATTTTTCCATCCATTTCTCAACCTGAGATGGTGAAATATTTAATATTTAAGATAGCTGGACCAAATATTATAAAAAGCACAAAAAAACAATGGCCACGACACAAGCCAGTATTCGAGATTACATTTGGGTGAAAGTATGCATAAATCATTCCAATTATCCAGATGTAGCGATCAAGCCCAGATCTAAAATGCCACTCGTGCATTCGAGGGAGATCTGGCTTTGCAGGATCAGTATAACCTGGCACACAAAAGTTAAAATTATGCATTTGCACTAAACATCATGTAAGTTTATATAGCAAATCGACTAGAAAATTGTAAACAGACTACATACATAACAAAGAGGGAAAGAGAGAGAGAGGACACATCAGTGGATTACTTTTATAAAATAGAGTGTATTCGACATAAATATATATTAGTATCCTTTTGACAATAACATTATTATTTTGAAAAGTCCCACGTTGACTACAAATAGTGACATAATAAGAACTAACAAAGTTTATGCACCCCTCTCTTCACAAATCAAATTTGTAGGNATTCAAAAGTTTTATTTATGTCAAAAAATACTTTTGATTACCGAAAGTAACTTTTTAAGCGAAAAATGGAGATTTCATATTTATGGCGGTGAAAAGGAAAAAAATATGGATGTGTAAAGGAAGGAGAATATGGGAATGCAAAAAATAAATCTTCTACAAAACAAACCACAAACAAGCTTTCAGGCTCAATCCTCTTTCATTAACGCTGGTTTCATGCTCCAGAGTTTCAAGAGCAGATTAAGGACACTTCAGTGGACGTTCTTCACTCTTGGAAGGGCATGTTGGTTTCTAAAGATGAGACCCGTCAGGACACTCATTACAGCACTATTACTATATATATATATATATATAATCTTTCAAGTATTAAAAATCCCTTCAACTTGATCCGTGAACGTTTACAAAATAACTGAGAAACTAAATTGGTGATATTTAATACTGGAGAGATACCTGGGAAGTTTTATTACTTTAAAGAATATTTAGGAGAATTGATAATGCTTGACAACAATATTCCCACAACTCCTACCCCAATGAACCAAAAAAAGTGGGAACACTATACTTGAACTTATAGCCATTAAACAAAACTATTGTTACAAGAGTAGGACACCGCGTTTCTGGTAAGATTGTAAAAAAGAATATACATATATTTCCTTATCCTTCAAAGGCGAAGACAAAAAAATAGCAATGAAAACTGAACAGGAACAGGTATTGAAATGAATCTTGAATTTCTTCGAAGCCAAGACGGATTTGTATCACGATCCTACCTTTTATGTGTGAGCACAAATGAATTTATAGAAAATTGGTTCAAATTCCTTCGAATTTAATCTCCCCCTTTCATCTGCCAACCTCCGATGCAAACCAACACTCAACGTTTATATTTGATGCCTTCTTGGAGGATACTACTTCCCCCACAACTACAGAAACATTGCTCCAAAAAAGAGATTCCACGTTTCCCAGTATTTTAATCCACAGTTTTCAGCATAGCCAATCCAAAGGGAACTGTCCGGAATCTCTCTTTGGTGTCTTGAATTTCAAACCTGACAGCATCAATGAAATTTCTGATTATTATATTAATTTAAGAACATGAGAAAGCACCTATGATCCACCCCCCACCATCTCCCCCGCTTCTGTTATGAAAAAAATTAGCAAGCTTCAAACTTGATATTCATTTTTGAAGCTTTATGCAGCATGAACAAGCACCTAAGCACCGAGATTTTATATAATGTAATCCTTTCCCAAGAAGTATCAAAGAACTATTCCTTTACAAAGCAATATAGAGGCTTACCGTTGAATGAGGAATCAGAAGCAGAATAAGCGAGATGCAGTACAGAGAAAGGGAAATGACAACTCCAGTAATAAAATTATGCAGCAGCCGCCGATTGTCTTTTGTTGGTATGAACACCGTCTTAAGTATATTTGTTAATTCAAAAAGTCGATAAGATACCTGCAAACCGTATCAAGATAATAGTGCAACCTAGTAATTAGTATGATGTCTTTAATGAGACCTGAATACAAATAAGAAAAATAAACATATGGAAGGAAAGAAGAAAGATCCATACAAAGACGTATATAGCAGTGGTAAGCATGAAATTGAGCATAGGATACTCTGGTATAAGACAAAGAAGCCACTTGGGCTGTCCATTTGGCATGTTAGACCTGCAAACAAAGAGGAAGTTATGAAGTACGCCCTTGCTGAGGTGAAGTTTTTTCATAATTCCAATCAAACATTGTCCTATGTATTATTGATCCAATATACTAAGATATAAAGATGCAACAACAAACAACATTATCCGTGCTGAAAAATTTATCAACACATGTGACTTCCAGTCTCTCCAACCATGTCTAACTATAGCCACTACTAAAACTAAAACGTGATCTACAAAACTAATGAAATTAGATAAGCACTGTTGCTGTTGAGCTGGGTTATCGCTAAACATAAAATAATATTACCAATTAAAGGATCTTCAGCAATGAAAATATGAAGCAATTAAATGTTATTTGATTCATCATTCATTTGAGTACGAAAAATGGGTTGAGCACATATCCCTCAGACCACAATAACTCTTTCAAAATTGCTAATTACAATGCTTTACGGAGTCCTCTTGATGTAACTTGGACAATAACCTAGGGAGAAGGGCTCAGATGCATACACACCTTAACCAAATATGAAACTGGGAAATGTATGTCTCCAAAGTAACCTTGCCAAGCCATCTGTACGAAAATGGAGGAAATTAAGCAACCAAAAAATTGATAGCTGTCACCAAATAATAAAATCTGCCAAAACCAATCAACATGGAATTTCAATAATTAAGGTAAAGAACATACGCAAAGAGGGTCAAAGAGAAATTACGAAGCCGCTGACTGAAATTCCTCAAGCAAATGTATACACTGAACATCATAATAATAAGGTAAAGGGATCAATAGGAGATGAAAACAAAATATAATCACATCTCACATATTACTATAGGTTTCCTGTCTTCCAAGTATAAAGCAAAAAAACAGAAAACACGGAGAAAACAAAAGGAACAAAAGAAAAAGATAACACTCACGTAATTGGAATCCATGATGTGTAAGGGTGGAGTTTGTTGTATGAGACCTTGTCCAGCTTGTATATGTATTCATACCACAAGTACCCCACCTAGAAAAGATAAATGAAAGAGATGTTCTTGTTTACTATTCTTGGTCTACATAAATAATATTCAAGTAATAACATAGGAGAATAGAAAACCATGAATAAGCTTATCAATGTATTTTAGGACATGTAACTCACAAATAGTGCAGCAGAAACAATGCCAGTTTTGATCGTAACTCTCCTCTTGGTTTCACTCTCTTCCAATTTTTCCATCCATTTCTCAACCTGAGATGGTGAAATATTTAATATTTAAGATAGCTGGACCAAATATTATAAAAAGCACAAAAAAACAATGGCCACGACACAAGCCAGTATTCGAGATTACATTTGGGTGAAAGTATGCATAAATCATTCCAATTATCCAGATGTAGCGATCAAGCCCAGATCTAAAATGCCACTCGTGCATTCGAGGGAGATCTGGCTTTGCAGGATCAGTATAACCTGGCACACAAAAGTTAAAATTATGCATTTGCACTAAACATCATGTAAGTTTATATAGCAAATCGACTAGAAAATTGTAAACAGACTACATACATAACAAAGAGGGAAAGAGAGAGAGAGGACACATCAGTGGATTACTTTTATAAAATAGAGTGTATTCGACATAAATATATATTAGTATCCTTTTGACAATAACATTATTATTTTGAAAAGTCCCACGTTGACTACAAATAGTGACATAATAAGAACTAACAAAGTTTATGCACCCCTCTCTTCACAAATCAAATTTGTAGGGATGAGTTGGGCCCAAAATTTAAGAATTATTTCATCGGTTTGATTGTAATTACAGTTAACAAGAGGCAAACATCTACAATTTGAAGCACAATATAACCATTCAATTCAAAGCCCAGAAAACTTTAGGGGCCATTGCAAAGGTGAAAAAGAGAAGGTTTGAGGCTATCAAGTTGGTCTAGTTCATCCAGATGGCAAGATAAGAAATGTGAGTACTTAATAAAGAAGAGTCAGCAAATGAGCATAACCAAAAGTTGAACCAATAACAGCGAAGTACAAGTTACGTATAATATTACTCACCCAAAAAGAAAGAAAATGGGCTCCAAAATATGTCAAAGAATCCAGGGATTTCCCAAATCAATATCACCACAAGAAAGCATGCCAGAATCTTTGCAGCCATAACTGAGGGAACTTCATTATACTTGTTATATATACCCAATGCTCCATACACCATCAAAGTGAAAAGAGTGTGCATTGGACATATATAGTAGAGCATATAGTCATTGTTAAGAACAATACAGCAGAAGGCCACAAAAAAATTGAGCCGCCACATCATCTGCATGGAATTTTAATGAGTTAGGTATACTATTCATGCAAAAAGAGTGACGGGAAAAGGATAGACACTGAACATCAAGTATAACAAAAACAGTATTTAAGGTCAAGGATTCATTTACCTGAGCAAACCGTGCAAGGCTAAAATCTTTTCTGACATAATAATAGGAGAAGTTGCCAAATCCAGTCATCCAAACATATGCAGCAATGAAAACACGTATTGCATTGTATATCTCCGTCGCAGCAAAATAATGATACATTAAAAAGAGAACCTGAACAAATGGAACAAAAGCTTGAACAGCTGAATCAGTACATAGAAGTGTCAGACAAAATTTAAATAGTTTCTAATGAATTATGGCCCTTTTGAAAGCAATATACAGGAATAATACTATATTTAATTTTCACGACAATCATACATCATCAAATAGCTTCAAATTTTCACAGTTGCTTGTGGGCATTGGCTTGAAATTCACACTGAATTTCTTGGAAAAGGTAAATGAGCAAGATTAATATAAGATAATAGGGCTGTGGAAAGTCCGTTTGGTTTTAAGCCAAAAAGATCTACAAATTCATGTAGTCAATCTCACCTACTGGGATAAGAATTTTGTTGAAACCTTGTTTCACAAAAAGTAGGCAATTGCACAAGGTATATTAACGTTTATGCTAACACACCAAACAAAAGAAAGGGTTATTGTAGAGGTAAGCATAAAATATGACATCTTTGTTTACAAGTTTTCAACATAATATAAAAAGGTGAGCTCACCTGCATCCACCCTTTCCACTCCTCTGTTTGATGCCGATTAAGGTAAAGTATGTTTTTTCCAGAAAAGGATGA